AACTGAAACTTGATGGTGGCACAAGATGGAGGCAAAGGAGCTAGAGGCCGTGTGTCTACAGTGGGAGCAGGACGGAATCTACAGAGCGCCTCTGCCTCTGTGCTCACCATGTGGTTCCCTTTGTCCCTGCACTTGGACCAGATACGTAAGATTCACCACACGTGCAACCTTTGCCCGGTTAGAAAAACCAGAAACCAAAGCCAGAGTAGACGTTCCCATAGGGATTTCTTACCTCTTTTGGTCTGGACTGACCCGACGAATAGTTATTGGATTTGACCCTCAATTGTATTTCTGAAGCTCCAGGTTATATATGCGGTGAGTAGGTGAGAGGGACCTACCCTGACTCTGGCTCCTCCCAACACCCAAACTCTTCCCGCCCTTCCCAGCTGTCTCAGACACGCGGGGAATGGGAAAGAGAATTAGGAAAAGGTGTGGAGATGGGAGAAGGAAGGGAGAAGAGTGGGAGAGAGGAGAAGGGAAAGCAGGGGACATGCTCCAGAGCAAATTGTCACCAGATGACGTGTAAAAAAGAGTAAAGGCCCTTTACCTTTCACGCCGCCTTACGCAAGGTTTAGGAGAACACAGCTACAGGACACAGTTTTTGAGACTGTAGCTTCTGGAAGGATTCAGAATTCACTGAATTTCATGAAAAATGAAAAGTACCTGAGGAAAATGCTAAATGTTATTCAAGAATCATAGAATAAGAACTGCTCACTTTAGACAGGTTAATGTGTGGCTCTTGGATTAAAATGTTGATGAGGCAGCTGTTTGGAAAGTCTGGGAGGGGCACTGAGCCAGAGAGAGACCTGGAGCGGCTCTCAGCCCAGCCTGACGCTGGAGTAACTTGAGCCCTCAGAGAGTCCGGGGGGTGAGACTACAGTCCAGCATTCTATTTTTAATTCACGGCATGGAGATAAGAGTTAAATATAAAGCAGATTAAGACTTCCCTTAAATCTCCTCTGCAAAAGGAAAACTGGAATTAATCTACAGGAGCACTCCATGGATAGCTCAATACCACCATTTTCTCAGAATAAAATTAGAAGCAGAAAACTGTGTCCTTATCCTTTTGACATCCAAGAATTATTGCCATCAAAGTACTACAGCCCATGAAATTACTTTCCAGGTTACACTCATTAGATTTAGCATTTTCATTCCTTAGACCCGTGGTTTTAACAGAAAAGAAAAGAAAAAAAAACTCCTCCCTTCATAGTACAACTATTCCCATATACCGGCCCATTAATGGGATGCTAATGAATGCGGAAGACATTGTAAAATCACAAATGCAGAACTGAGAAGCCGATTTCAAACAGCGATAGGCCTGGCCTTGTTTTGGAAATTTGGATCATGAGAACATGGGATTCAGGTAGAGCACTGCAGCCTATGTTCCCTGCACACCGCAGCTAAAGAGGCACTCAGTTACAGGCTGTTTTTAAAGAAATTGTTAATCACATTGTACAATCACCATTATGAGTTAGACATTAAACAGATGCTAATGGAGCTACTACAGTCTTTGTCCCTGGATGTGTTAACCACGTAACACGGCAGCAACAGAGTAAGGAGCTTAAGAGTTCAGGCTCTAGAGCAGTCGGTCAGGGTATGAACCCAAGCCCTACCAATTACTCACTGTGTGACCTTGGGCAAGTTGCTTAATCTCTCTGTGCTGGTGTTTCCACTTTTGTAAAACGGAGATAATCATAGTCTGTGCCTCCAGTAAGGATTAATTGAGAAAATGTATGCAAAGCACTAAATCAGTTCCTGGCACTGTAGTGTGTGCTCAACAGCAGTTGGTGGTTGTTAGTATTATGTTGCTGGAGACGTGGGAGAAATGAGTCTGAAACGGCTGTGCAATCCGGTGGCTGAGTTCAAGCCTGCTGAGGTGTCTGGTCTTCATGACCTCTCAGGCCTCAAGCTGCCGAGGAAGAGGAACCAGTCACCTTTCTCTGACAGTCCTCTGTGTATCTGAATGCATTGCCATGTGCTGAGCCTTGCCTGGTGTGTAATGCCTTGGTGTGTGTATTACATCATTCCAGCAAGTCAGGATGCTTTTCTGAACAACTCTCTGTTTGCGTGATGCCTTTAAATACACACAAGAATTACAAGGCAATCCTCTGTAGCCTGCATGAAGACCAGCTGGAGAGATTTCAAACACCAAGAGATTCAGCACATTCATCATAGGGCCTAATAGGAGAAGGAACTGTTTGAGGAGCTGCTAGGATGCAAAGATGAGTAAGAACTGACCTCTACTTTGAAGTCAACAGTGAGCTTAGGGGCACAGTTAAGACACAGGTGGACTGCCTTATGTGCTAGCCAAACAACACAAACCCATTGTTATGGAGCCTCCAAAGAGGAAACACCGAACAAGTCACACTTTAGAAAGCAGCACAGCACTGACTCATTTCACAAATACCCACTGGGCATCGTCATTTGCCAGGTTACTATTCCAGGCGCTGGGATATGGCAGTGAACAAAACAGAAGTCCCTGCCCTTGCGGAGCTGATACTCTAGTGAGTAAAAAGACAATCAATAGAAAAGCCCAAGAGCATATGTATATACACACACATGCACATGGGTAGTGTGTCAAGGGGTGCTAAGTGTTTGTTTGTTTGTTTGTTTGTTTGTTTGTTTGTTTTTTGAGATGGACTCTCCCTCTGTTGCCCAGGCTGGGTGCAGTGGTGCGATCTCGGCTCACCACAACCTCTGCCTCCCGGGTTCAAGTGATTCTCCTGCCTCAGCCTCCTAAGTAGCTGGGACTATAGGCCCACGCTACCATGCCCGGCTAATTTTTGTGTTTTTAGTAGAGATAAGCTTTCACTATGTTGGCCAGGCTGGTCTCGAACTCCTGACCTTGTAATCCACCCACCTCAACTTCTCAAAGTGCTGGGATTACAGGCATGAGCCATGACGCGGGGCATAGGGGTGCTAAATGTTATAAAGAAAAACACAGACAGGGTAACAGGTTAGGGAGTGACAGGGAAAGCGGGGGCTATATGACAAGCTGCTAATCATGAGGTAAAGAAAGTTAGAGAAAGAGAGAAACAGATAGGGACTAAAAGCATCATGAGAAAATTCTGGGACCTGGGTGGGCAGGAAGGCCATGGTAGAAGGAATGGGAGGGCAGGTTGTTCTAGGCATGGGATTTAGAGAGAGCAGAGAAGGGTCAGAGACAGGAGGGGGGCCAGAGGAGAGGCAGGCATCCCCAGGGTAGGCACGGCACCGGGTGTCGGGGTTACCCAGGGGCCTGAAGCCAGAGCCATACAGGTCATTAGGTGTAACTCTCAAGAACGACTGCAAACAGCCTGCGGAAAACATAAGCAGTCCCGGGTTTTATTTCAGCTGGTGAACAGGAACCAGGGCCAAAGGACAGCACCTGCCTGGTAACACCAGACACTTTTTCTAACTCTCATTTTCACTTGTCATATAGAACGTCCAATATTGACTGCTGTCACCTGTGGAATCTAAACGGGTTGAACTTCTAGAAGCAGAGCGTAGCACGGTGGTTGTTAGGGGCTGGGAGAAATGGGGAGGTGTTAGTTAAGAGGTGAAACATCTCATCCATGTAGGATGAAAATGGTCTGCAGATCTAATGTATAGCATGGTGACTGCAGTTAACAATCCTGCACTGTATACTTTGAAATTTGCTGAGAGAATAGATTCTCAGTGTTCTCATTCACACACACATAAATATGGTAACTTTGTGAAGTAAGGGAGATGTTAGTTGACCGTGGTAATCCTTACACAAAGTGTATGTATATCAAAACATCACATTGGACATCTTACATGTGTAATATTTTTATTTTAAGAAAAAAGGCCGGGCACGGTGGCTCACGCCTATAATGTCAGCACTTTGGGAGGCCGAGGTGGGCTGATCACTTGAAGTCAGGAGTTTGATACCAGCCTGACCAACATGGAGAAACCCTGTCTCTACTAAAAATACAAAATTAGCTGGGCGTGGTGGCGCATGCCTGTAGTCCCAGCT